ATTTATTACTGTCAACGCCTGCAATAAAACTTTCGACAATCAAAACGAAGATGCAGACGAAACAAAACAATTTGGCAGAAGCAATGCCGAGAAACGAGCACAAAAATATAAATAAATAAAATCCAAAAAATAATGTCAACAATTGTACATCTCTCTTTGTTGGCCTAGACAAAAAATTGTTTGCAAACTGCAAAAGTGTAATTGCAAAAATTTCTGTCACATTGCGACAGCTGCTGTGCAACAAAGTTCCGGAAACTCTCATCCAAAATTGTGGCTATTTCCTATGTTCAACTGATTGAAATGCTCTCACACACATGAGCTTCTACCCAAAAAAGAAACAAGTGACAAATTGTTGTAAATACTAAGCAAAGTTGCATGATGCCCCAAAGCAATGCGACAGCTTTTTAAACACGCCTCACGAATATACACTTGTACACTGGGGAAAAAAAGTTGATGATCTTAGCTATAATAGGAAATTTAATCAAATAAATCAGAGGAGAATCTTGCTTGATTTAAATATAATTGGAATAGACCCCATGACAATTTGTATTATATTTAAATGAGATTTGGTTTTTGCATATTTCTATTTATATTTTATTTATATAGAATATATTTATTTGTTTTAAATTTAAAATTAGTTTTTAAATATTCCTTTATTAATATATTCCTTATTTATCGTTTTACACTTCTTAATAAAAGAAATATGCTTGGATTAAGCATATAAATATTGTCAAAAGAATTTTCGTGCTTCGTATAAATTATTTTTAATGGAACTACAAGATTTAATGGACAATTAAGGATTTGTAGAAATCTAATCTTTGTTCTCAGCTAAAGAAATTGTGGGGTTTGCCGACATTTTTGCTTGAATTGGGCTCAAAACACTTTTATTTTCTAAGTTTGTTATAAGTACTTGCAAAATTGGTATGAAATGTTTTCAATGGAAATGCAACATTTCTTGTAAAAAATGCTAAAGATGTCGTATTTAAGCATTTTGAAAAAAATTAAGGAATTCTTAAAATCAAAATATTTGTTCTCAGTTTAAGAAATGACGAGCTCTTCCGTACTCTAACAACGCGTTTTCTCGAAGTGTAACCGGAAATAAAGAAATTTTCAATTATAAAAACTGATTAAGCACTCTATACTCCACTATATTTATTTACACTCGTGTTTGACTTATCTCCAATTGGAAGGAACATGTTTTGGTATAAATTCGCTTCAAGCGACACTTGACAAACTGAAAGGAACTTAACTTAATCAATGGGAGATTAAACTTTTGCATTGAGCCAGTGTCAAAGCATCAATTTGTCATCGAACCCAGCCAAGGTCTGGGGTAAAAGCAATCACAGTGCCAAACAGAGCAACAACAACAACTACAACAACAACAACAAAATTGTATTGTGTGCTCGAATTATGAAATTCCTCCCAAAATACTCCCACCCAAGAGTTACGCACAAGCTGCCAAGGCATAGGAAATAGCAGGAAAAGGCAACGTTGAGGAACTTTTGTCATATTTTGACATATTTTAATACGAGTTTATAAGAAACCTCCCCAACCTACGCCCCACTACGCCCCCCCCCCCCCCCCCCACTTGGCGAGTCGTCAGCACTTGAGTTGATGCCTGGAGGCCGTTTGACAGTTGGTCAACTTTAATTTGGTATGTGGATAAAATGTGTTAGCCCTTTTACTTGGCAGCCTTTAACCAAATTTATTGTAGCCCGCTTACAGGCGCCGTTTCCCCAGCGACCAAAAAGAGGCAGTAAATTTAATAAATAAGTAAAGATGCCAGACTTATTTCTCACAGCGATTGTTGTTGTTGTTGTTGTTATTGTTGCTGTTCTTTCAGTTGTTGTTGTTGTGGTCTACCTCAATCAAAACATGTCGCATACAATAGCAAAGCGGCCCCAATGCGTCGTCTATCAACAGTGTCTTCAATAATTTTTCACACACACACACACATAGACAAGCTGTACTGTCACCCTGTCATGTCGTATTCCCGTTAGGCACAAAGGACCAAAATTGCAAATAAGAAAGAAATACACGCATATCACAAATAAAAATAAAAAATAACTGCTCTGCGTGAATAAAGTGGATAAACGAAAATCTTTTAAAAGACGCACATTCGATACTCTAGCCAAAAATAAAGAACAGTTCTTTTTAAAGTAATTACTATTTATGGACTCAATTTCTTAGGTAATTACTATGGTAAATATATGCCAACTTGCAAGAATTATATTTTAGTTCAATTATTTAATTACCGTACTTCAAGTGTGTTGGTAAATGTTGTAATTACCCAAATAATTATGCTGTCTCTTTGGTAGTTCAGCAGTTTGTTGTTTGGTAATATATAGGAATATATTAACTATCAATCAACAAATAAAAATAAAAAATTGTGCTCACAATTCTTGACAATTATAACTGCTATAATAATTGCATATACCTAAAGAACATATTACAAATATTCCACTTTTAATTGAAACTTAATAACTTAACTAATAAAGGAATAATTTAGAACAAATTGACTAGCTAATTAATTGTATTAATTTCTGTTAATTTACTTAAATTTTGTGCTGGTTTTTAAAGCTTAAAGCTCCTAAATTCATGCTGAACAAGCCAACACATTGACGCCCGCTGCGCTAACAACTTTGAACAAATCATAGATAGTCCCTTTGGGAGAGTGTATGGCCCTAGAATGGCTTCAAGTGTCATTTATTTGTCGACGTAACCTTAAAAACTTTCGCACAAGCGTCGCTCAGGAAAAGTGTTATGCGTGGGTTACAAATGTGTATGCGTGTGTGGGTGTGTGGGTGTGTGGGTGTGGTTGTGCGCCTGCCAAAGGCAAAATAATGCATATAAAATGGAAAATCAGCAAAAGATTCTAACCTTAGTTGGCGCGCACAGCTAGCTGCTCCTAACTTATTCAATTTTTATTCTTCCATATTTTTTGTGTGTATATGTATGTGTGTGTGTGTGTGTGTCCTCGACACAAACACTAGACTACATCGAAATTGAAATTGATTTGACAAATATTTTGCTGGCGTTTATTACATTTTTTTGTTATCAGCGCGCTGGCGCTGGCGCCTTGGCCTTTTCAAGTTTTGAACCCTGAACGTTTGGCAAGGATTACGTCTGCTATGGCAACAATTTCAATATGCTGGAGTCCACACACACACACACACGCACACATACGCGTGCGAACACACAAACATGCAAATGCATACCAATAAGCTGACTTGAATGGCACAAACCGAGCTGAGTTTGTGGAGTTGTCGCAAGTAAGTGCAGTTGTGCAACAGCATTCCGCACATGCCCCGGGGCAAATACTCGATAAATATATGTATATAGAGATGCATTTAACACATTGACACTTGTTGCATGCCACACACACACACACACAGTCGCAGAATGGCATTTTGTGTTTTATATAAATCAATATGAAAATCAAAGCAAGCACGCATGAGTTTGTGGCTGTAACTTTGTGTGTGCATGCGTGTGTGGGTGTGCGGTTGTGTGTGTGTGTGAGATTGTGTGTGTGATGCCAGCATCAAATACTATTTTATATGCTTAGAGTAGCGATATAAATGCTCTTTAACTGAATAACGAAGGCCAATGAAAGCACACCTAATATATATGAATAAAAAAAAAAAAATTACTTTTAATATTATTCTAAATATAGAATATAGTTACAGCTTTACGACCATACTATATTAATAAATAATAATAATATATTCAAAATAATAAATTTAATAATAATAATATTCATTTCAATATTTTAAACACTAACAAATATAATATTATTATATTACAACATGAAAATGTCTAAAGTACAAAAACTTTCATTCCCGCTTTTAAATACCATTACATTAGACGCGAAAATGTCTAATTAGACAACTTATCTGAACAGTTAATAGCTTCTCGCTCATTCGAATTGACTTCAACTGCGCAGCTTCAATGGCCGCATTGACCTTTAGCGAGAGGGTATTAAAAGGCCACTAGATAATCAGATTAAATCGAAGAGCGTTTTCATTAAATTGCCACTTTTGGCTTTTATAATTTTCGCATTTGAGCCTTAATGCATGCAGCGCCGACCAGGACAATAAGGACTAACGACGCAAGCGACGCATAAGCCAAAGCTGTTTTTGTTGTCAATATTGACACATGTGTATGTGTGTGTGTGTGCATTGGCAGATTGCAGAATACAATTGATAAATAGAATTTCAATGAAGTGGCTTAATAAATGCAAAGTCCTGTTCAAGGACGAATGTCAATAAATATATATTTATATAAATAGAGAGAGAGAGAGAGAGAGAGAGAGCGCGAGGGAGCACAGTGTAAATCCTGATCATAAAAAGAGCATCAAGTGGACTAACAACTAAAGCCAATGTCAGCCACTAATTGTTACATTAAAGCTGCTTCCAACAACAAGCTCAAAGTCTTACCATGAAAAACATTGTGCTGTGTGTGTGTGGGCGAGTGTGTGTTGGTGTGGGTGTGGGTGTGTGTATGTGTGTGTTGATGATACACGTGCGGCTGCGGCCAGGTGATTAAGCTTTGCAAAGCAGAGCAGCAAATGGACAAGGCAAATAAACGCAGCAAGTGTCATCTATGGAGCGCACGTGACGTATGCGTAACATTAAGCAGAAGCTTGAATCTGAAGCTGGCAAAAATTAACACAGTTTACCCAGGCTAAGACTTAAGCTGCACTTTACGCCCTGTGCCCTGAACAACCTCAATGTATTCAGCTAACAAGTTTGAAGGCGGATTTAAAAATTAGACTGTAACAAGACGTTTTATTTGAGGTGCCGCAAATTAAATGCTCTTTGCTGAGGTATAGAGAATATGTATTTTTTTAAGCGTTATCTATTAAAGGCAGCAGCATGGCCTTGTGTAAGTTTTTTAAAGATATCTAAAAAATTATTCGTACAAAAACTGTATTTACTTATTTTGTTAATACAATTTTTGTATAATATTTAATCAAATAATGAAGAACTAAATATATTTACCTGCTCGTGTTTGGTTAAAAGAGAGCTGATGCAGATTAAAAGTTTAGTCGATGACTCGTTGAATACAATCCGAACTATGTGAGCTTGACTCAAGTAATCCACAGGTTGTTTGGATATAGTTTTCGTTGCTTGGGTGCGGTCATCTGTAAAAACAAAAATATTGAGACATTGAAAAACTAAATCATATAGGAATTGTGCCCATTATATATATAAATATCTGTTCATTATAGTTTAGAATAGTCTGATGCTGCTGTAATTTCAGTAACAATATTAAATTAAAATAATATTATAATTAATATCAATAAAAATAGATAAATACTTAAAATGGATAGGGTATTACGAACCGAACCGAATCAGCTGTAAAAGGAAGAGTGTTTAATAAGGTCTCATAATTGAAAAAGAACATCTTTCACTCATTATTCACCGCACACGTATGTGACTGCAACAAGGCGACTATTCATATTGTCCAATACAATATATGCTTAGTAGCTTATATGCTTCGCACACATATAACTATATCGAATGGACTATTCAGACTGCCTATACATATACTTAACCGCGTGTTATACTCTTCAAACATTTGGTGACAAAACTTAAATACCCCAAAACAAAAACAAAAAAACCCACCTAACTCATGTTCTATTTTGAGGGTCAACAGAAGCATACAATTTTCATAAATATGTTGGCAAATTGACCTATCAACACTTGAAATTGCGATACGACAACAACAAAAACGGGGCAACTTGTAGGCAACTTTTGATATTAGCAAACTTTGAAATTAATTAAAATCGCCATCAATGCTTTCGCTCTGATGAAACCATAACAAAAACTAATATTTGACAATTGCCAATAATAATCGCCAGAGCAGCCGCATGTATTGCCAAAACGCAAGCAGCAGCAGCAGCAGCAGCCAACAACAACAACTAGAGACCAATCGAAATTATTGCAAAACAAACAACAATAACAACAACGAAAACAAAGACAACAACATGGAGCGAGCGCAACAATTAAAACAAATCGAAAAAAGCAATGTAAAATTTTCATGTTCTAAATTTTTTTTGCTGTTGTTTTATGTTTCGAGCGGCAGCAACACCCGCCCCCAACACACGCCCCCTTTTCAACCGAATGCATGCAAATTGCGGCTGAGTGTGCCTTTGCGTGTTTGTGTGTGTGTGTGTGTGTGTGTGTGTGTGTACTTTGTTGCTTGTTTTTGCGCTTTTGGTGTAAGGACAAAGTTTTGCCGAACAATTGCTGCCGTGCACAAAATTGAATTGAAAACTCAAAGGTCACAAATTTATGCAATCCATATAATATATATATAAACATATATATATATTGGCACTTTACATATGTTTGTGGTACGTGTGTGTACGTGTGTGTGTGTGTGTCTGTGTGCGTGTGTCGACAGTTGAACATTGCCCGGTGGATTGTTGTTTGATTGAAAATGTAATTGAATGGCAGCAGCAAAAAATGCCCACAAAACAATAAAAATAATGGAAAATAATGTAAAGGACGCGCAAATACCCTGTATATCAAAAGTTATAATGCAAACGTGGGCCAAACTGCGGTTAACAATTTGATTATTAAAAAAATAAAAGAAAACATTTCAGGCACAAAAAGTTATGCAGAAAAATCAAGGAATGGGATTACCAGAAAGTAATTAGCTATGAAATAAAAAAAGGTTTCTTTTAACAAAGTTTTTGTTGCAAAAAAGAGTAAAATACTACAGATTTTGTAATGTTAAGGAAAAAATAAAAAATATAAAGCATTTTAAATAAAGCCCATATAGCCAGAAATTATAGTAAAATAAAGAAAATTTGTAAGCGTAAAAAAGTATATTCGAAAGAGTGAAAACTGAAACAAAATGAAGGCTGGGTTTCAGGAAAATACTAAAAAATTTGATTTCCACATCTAACAGTAAGTAAAGGAGAAAAATAAAGAATATTCCGCATCCAAAAATGTATTTGCTAAAGAGTAAAAACCAAAGCAAACGACACTGTTTTGGCAAAGCTGGCGGCTCGAAATGTATTATGCTCTATAACATTCAAATAAGTAGAGGGTATTAAACCCGAAACCAAAAATAATAGTTTATAGCCAGAACAAAGAAAAACTATTGCAACATGCGCTAATAAATTATGAAAATATAATATCAATTGTCCTTGGCACGTGCGAATCCATATTTATAATTTTCAACCTCGCAAACGTACACACACATATTGAGCAATTATTTATTTAATTAATGTTCATTAAAAACGGCATTAAAAATACCCATGCAACTTATATAAAGATTAAAACATATAAAAAAAAGGCTTTTGTAGCTTGAATAAATAATTTAAACTGAATGAAAAATATTTAAAAAAGAAATGTTAAAGGCTTTAAAAAGTATATAACCAGGCGTGTGGCAGGGATTTTAAGGGTCTCTAAACCTACAGCTAGGATTAAAAGACCCTTTTTCTATATTTTTTGGTGAGCTTGCCCCAGCAGGTACAATCGGCTTATGCTGACAACTTTAAATCAGGAAAAGATGTCTTAAACTAAGACAAAGCCACCTGTAAGACCAACAGGCAGTCAATGGACTCACAACAAGCAGCCATCAACCCAGCCCTCTGCTTCCGCCCCGCACTAAGTATTCAATTCCATAAACACTTGTACACGCAGATCACGCGGCCATCGTAAGCCAGCGAGCGGGCTTGTGCGAAACTTCATCAACAGAAATTGTGAATTCCATACAAATAGTTTGACAAACTTGCCCCAAACTTGGTCTGCTTGGCGCTTAGAGGGCGCAGGGCAGGGGCAGGGGCGTAAACGGGCAAACATGGAGCATTGGGTGCTAAGGCAAAAAGCGCAAATGAAAGAAGTTTTGCGGTAGGCACTGGGCCAAGAGACGATAGGCAGGAAATGCCACAGCAGTAGACATAAAAGAAATCTTACAAAGCCACAGCAACAAGAAACTTATATTCCCATACATATAAATATATGCATCCGTGTACATATGTGCCATTTAGATATATGTATGTAAAACTAGCTGGAGATAAAAGAACTTGTAGTCCAAAGTGAAAGATTTATTCTAGTTTGCTGCGGCTTATACCTTATTTAAGACTTAGGAAAGGTTTTTGGGCTTCTTAAAATATCAGATTTACCAGATTTCAGGCAAATATTTAACCTTCAAAATTATTTAATATATATAAAATAATGATAACTTACATAATGGGGAATGGGGAAAATGCTTGACCCTGAAAACTAAACAGCTAAGTTCTATGTTTATATATATTTGTATACAAGTATATACCTAATTATAATTTTTATGTGTTTCTAAGATGTTTCTAATATTTCATATATGTTTTTATAAATTCTTGTCCATTCTTTAAAACTTAACTTAATAACTTAGCTTAATAGGGTATCCAACATTCAATCTTTACGTATTGCGCTCTTTCCACTTGGCATTGCATAGTTTTTAGAACATTTTCTTTTAAGGCGCCAACTATTTGGTCACGTATCGTATGCTTATTATGAATGTGGTAAAATATAGGACTACATACCTATAAAGTACATAATATACATATGTTCTATACAGCCTTGGGCCACGCGTGCGGCATATTATCGCAGGGGTCGCACGGCAGTCAGAAGCATTATCCGGCCTGAAAGCAGCAGCACCCAAATGCGATGACGCGCCAGGACGACTCTATTTGACTTGGGGCCACTTTCAGATTGAGAGAGGGGAGAGAGAGAAGCAGCGACAGGACCACATAATCAAAGTCATCAGACTGGCACTGACGCTGGCTGACTGGGACACTCACTCAATGGAAGCATGTCCAAGGGCTGGTTGCTAAAAGTTTTTCATGTCCCAGCAAGCCGGAATAGGCGCGTGCAATCCCACTCCCACTTCTAAACAGCCTGCACGGCATTGAAGAAGGCTCGAAAGTTTTGGACAACTTGTTTGGGTTCGGTTTTGGTTTTAGGGTTTAGTTAGGTTCTCTATACTCTTGCACGGAGTATAATAATTTCGTAGCGAAGTGTGTGACGCTTAGAAGGTGATGTCTCTAGCCACGTGAAGTAACAAGATCCGTATTGTTATAGTCATGTTTATGTGTCTATTTTAGTGCAAAAAAATATCTCGGATCGGACCATTATATCATATAGCAGCATGGGAATGAACGGTTAGAAATATAGTTCTTCTATGAAAAAGTTTTTGTGTTTGGCGAGAAATCCCGAGCTAACTTAACTCTGCTTCTTAGATATATATCGAGAAATCGTGAATTTCGAGGAGGTAAGCCGTATCAAATCGAACTACTACATAACTTAAATGCTAAGGCAGCAATCGTATAAAAGCATTCGCAAGACACATGTCAAGAAGGGTGTTTAATTTTCGGACCTTCTTGTTTGGGTTTTGACAAAAGGCCGACGCACTGATTGTCAACATCCAAAGGGGAATTGAACTTTGCGACAGGAAGTTTGCGTCTGCGTTTTGTTTTAGTTGCTTTTATCAATCAAAAGGCCTGTGAGACCTTAACTTGAATTAGTGGTTAGATTTGTGCCACTAGCGTGACTTAGTGTGCATATTAAATGCCATTCAGGGAGCCAATCAAATCGAATTGCGCAATCGAAGCCCTTTTTTGTAATTATATTAGCCCAAAACATTTACAGATATCGCCATATTTATCATGCATATATATAAATATCTCTTTGTTCTTATTGTTGTTACATTTACAGCTGCTGCTGTTGGCCATTGTTACTGCCCGATTTGGTGGCCCAACAAGGCGCACAACTCTCGCATCGGCCTGCGAGGAGGAGTCCCTGTCAGCGCTTCAAAACAATAGATACAGCAGCTACTACGGCAATAATAACAACAACAACAACGACAACGATAACAACGATTATGGCTACAACAACATTGATGGCATTGCAGATAGGAACGACAACAATGACAACTATAACTACAACAAAGCCACAGCCAAATGGCAGCCGTCGCAGCAAAAACTATACGGAAATTCCCAGGAGCAACAGCAGCAACACCAACGCCAGCAGCAACAGCAGCAGCAGCAACAGCAGCAGCAACAACAATTTGTTGATGATCCCGAGGCAGCTCGAAATGACTTCCTTTCGCAATTGTCTGACTTAAATGCGGCTGTGCAAGGTGTAGGCATGTTTGCTGCCCAGCACAACAGCAACAGAAACAACAACTACAACAAAAACAACAATGACAACAACGACAACAATGACAACGACATCGACGTCAACAATCTGTGGCAAGCTGAAGCTAGATTTGAAAGAGAAGATACGCATTTGCCGCTGGAACGTCACAGCCGTAGCAGTTACCTGACCAGGTAAGTTGCAAATCCCATGCCAGCCCCACTTTAACACCCTCTCGGAAAACAAACGAAAATTAGCAGCAGCAATTTTTTGTCAGTGTTTATGTCACGTTGCATGCAACTGCAGCGGACTGTGGCACATTCCTCAATGTGGCCCAAATATGATAGCAGCTTGACAATAACTAAGCCCCAAGTCAGCTGCTGGATTTGCCCCAGCTTTGCTCTGCATATCAGCTAAAGCCGAGACCTTCAGCATTGATGCCAACATTTAAGCTGATTCGCGCTGGCTTTCTCTCTTTAGTTTTTCTTTTCTCTTATTTTTTTTGGGTAGATCAGGCTTAGCAGGATCAGGCGCTTGCGATGGCCATGCCAAAGATAACGTAATGCGGCGCCAAGCTGAAATCAACCAACAAAAGATTGACGAAGACAAAAGACTGTGCAATGCACAAAACTCATGCTGCCCGCCAAGCCGCCAATTGAATACCCTGCAAATGGGTAGAGAATTCATTGAGAAATGTTTGACATGTCGAGGCCAATGGCAGAACAAGAGATTTCAATAGCTTTTCAAGTCTAGTTTAGCTAAATATAATATTAAATTAGCGTGAATTACCCGGCTTTGCGCGAGCCTATTTATGCTTCATATTTTGGGTATCACTTTTCCGACTATTATATTTAAGGTATTACTTTTGGGACCATTTTCCGCCCGTGTGAAATTTAAACCCAATTTAAAGTCCAAATCTCTAGTTATATTTTGTAATTTTGTATTTAGTAATCGAATTTCCACTTTTTTCGAAAGGATTCCATGCTGAATTTTTACAAATTCATCAAGAAAGAGTTTAAAGCTGATCAGATGGTAAACACCTGAGATTTATGCCATTATATCCCCATCAATTCTCCACTGTACAAAATTAGAATACAGGCTTGTATTTATAATTTTGGAGAGAAATAATAAAATACAGATCCTCCCAGTTTAGCTGAGCAGTTCGTGGCCGCAAAAACTATTTGAAAATTTCCGCAACTCAATTTGAATATAAATGCAAACAAACAAATGCAGCAGTTAAATTGTTTTTTGTATTTTGTTTGTAGCTTAAGATTAAAATATATTTTTTATTTTTTTGCTGCTTTGCTTTGTGGCCACGCCCCCCGCCCCAAACCCGCCGGGCATTATTTAAGGCAGCGGCCAAGGCAACAAATTCAAAACACAACCATTTATTTCTAAACATTTTCGCAAACTTTGCGACAAAACTATCAAAGCCGCTGTGTTTGCCTGAAGTGCGCTTCAAAAATGCCCCCTGCGGTGAGTGGTTGCAGTTGGCTGTGTGGGTGGCTCGGGGTGGCTCGGGTTGGTTCGGTGGTGTCGCTGTTGGGTTTGCCGCTCAGCGCAAAGCATTGACAACGAAAAAGGAAATCCGCTGGCAGCCAACGACAGTCGCGTTACGATGGGAGCTTTGTCTATGCCACACCTCCACCCGGCCCCCCACTGCTGCAGGAGGGGGAGGGCTGCATGAAAGAAGACGGGCAGACAAAGCGCGCACGCGGATGGCAAACGCCGCAAAATGAAAGCTAAAAAATTCATTGGCATTTGCTGCAGTTGAATGCAAAATGATGCGCTTTTGTTGCCCAACTGCAAACAAAAAAAAAACAAGTAAAAGTAGCTTAGCCAAGATTACCCAACTGGCATATACCCTTTAATTTTGAAAGAAATGGGCGGAAGTTGAAGAAAATGAAATATTCCTAAAACGTGTGTACACACGAGAACCTTCATACAAAGATTAATATTTGTAGCTTTTATATTCTTCGTGTTATAAGAAATCATGTCTTACAATCGATATTTATCGATTTATCAAAATGTGCGATATCGATAAAATAATGATACCCATTAGAGTCCAGCTTTCATAGCTGGACGGACAGACGGTCAAGGGTAGATCGTCTTAACTCGTCGTCCTCATCAAAAATATATGTGAATACTTTATGGCGTCGAAGATTAGTACAAAAGCATGATACCCTTTTACACATTTAGAATGGAAGCAGCGTATGAAAAGCTGAAGAAAAAAATAAAAAACTATCTAACGCCAAACGTCAAAAGCGAAAATATTTTTTTATAATATTTTTGAGCGAATTTTACGGACGGCCGCAGCCGTTTCCGGCAGCTGCGCGAACGTCGCTAATTCATTGCCAAAGCTTAAATTTTCTATGCATATGCAATTTGCAGGCATGCAGGTCAGCCGGAGCGGTACGAGAATGATGCAATGCCAAGCGAAACGGACGATAGCGTGGATGTTGAGGGCGAGGAGGACTATGCTGTGGCCACCCCCAAGGATGCGGACGAGCTGAGCCCCCAGCTGCCCTATGGCATACAGAATGTGCGCAAGCGGCGCGTGCGCAGCGTCATGCCACCTGCAGCAGCAGCATCAGCGGCTGCAGCTGCAGCACAGCACAGCGGCAGCGAGGGCGTAAGTTAAGCAGGGGAACATGTCCACGCAGGGTAAATCACACTCTTGGCAACTCTTTCAGGTCACCTATCAATCGCTGTGCCCCACCAAGCGTGTTACCGTCAAACTGGACAATGGCGAATATCGGCCCAATCACTATGTGGAGGTCACCTGTGCCAACAACTATGCCCCGTTGCCCGCCAGGCTGCACAACTACGACTACAACTATCGCAGCAACGAGCTGCCGCTGCTGCGCGCCCTCCTCAACGAACGGGCCGGTGAGAAGCGTGAGGTGTGTATACTTAAAATTATTATTATTACTATTATTACTCAAATGCAAGAGAACTAGAAAACATATTTCATTTATTCTTTTGATTTGTTGATAATTAATTTTTAAATCTTTATTAAAGCTAGTTTAAATTGGGCAGATGGAAGTCAAGATCACCCAAAGACCTGTTAACCAAAACGCAGTTACTTTAATTCAGACTAGAAAATCTTCTTAAAATTATCGAGTGTAGGAATTTTTCTATAGATAATGTATTGTAGTCTTTGACAAGATTTTGCGCATATGAAAGGAGTTTAACCAATTCAACAACTTTGTTTCAAATAACTTACAAAGAGAATCAAATTTTTCATAAAAGATACTTACTTGTAGACCAATCATTATAATATGGCAGCTACATGATATAGAGGAACTATCCGATTAGCAAGATGTCCCGTGAAAAGTTATATGATGATAGCCTTAAGAGAGACAGGCAGGATACTAAAATGATATAAAAATATAAACATTAACATATAAAGGATCGTTAGAACTTCATACTTATAGTTAGTGACCTTATTTTGTATTAATAATTAATTTAACTTAATATTTATAACAATTATGACATTCCCATAGATCTGCTCGGCTACTGGTTTCTCGTGCATTCAGCTCAATCGCACCATACATCTGATACGCTTGAACGAGGGCAGCGGCTGCTGGGAGTCGGAGACACGCACGGTGCCCTCGGGCTGTGAGTGCATGTGGCCGAAGCACAGCTATGGCGACATTGCCTCCTATCACCAGGCACAGAAGCGTTTCAGGACCAGTTTGAACAATCTTCAGGCACGCGTTGCAGGCGGCAACATTGATTATGCACCCGGCGTGGGCTATCGCCAGCTAACGCTGCGCTCCCGTGCACCCAAGTCGGGTGCTGGAGCTGCACGCAGCCGACGCTCGGATGTTTTGGACTATGATAACTATGAATTGAATTAAATTGAAGTACTTTAACGCGCATTTTTGGGACCAAGTCCCAAGCACAATGGGTAGCACATCAAAAGTTTGGATCATTTAGCAACTAAGTTGAGAGCGTAAATTATTTTTTCTTGCTGTGGTTTAGCCTTAATACACTCTTTATTCATATAATTGTAAACAAAAACAAAAAAAAATTGTATACTTAAGAGAAAATAAATACAAATGGAGCAACAAAGAGTCCCTCAATATTTAGAAAACCAAAGCTGCAACCGGGTTTCAACTGGAGAGAATTCTAATTTTCTTCAGCTAACTATTTAACAGCTAAACCTAAACTATACCATAAATTTTTAAAAGATGGTTTGGTTCCAAGCATTTCATTTGGAAATATAACAAATTCATTTAGTTTTTACTTTAAATATTAAAAGTTAACAGATTTTGCATAAATGTAGGGAACAAAGTGAAACTTATAAAAGGCAAGTGTAGTCAAGATATCTAAAAAAACAAAAAAGTTTTCCATACAACAACTTCATTTTCGACCGATCGTTCCTATGGCAGCTATATAGTGGTCCGATGTTGATAGGATTTGCATATATACGAGGAGCATAGTAAAACTAATAAATGATGAGTTTGGTCAAGATAATTAGAAAAACAAAAAAGTTTTCCATACAATAACTTAATTTTTGACCGATCGGTCCTATGGCAGCTATATGATTTAGAGGTCCGGTGTAAATAATTTTTTGCTTAAATTTAGGGAGCATAGTGAGACTTATAAATGCCGAGTTTGGTCAAGATATCTTGATAAACAAAAAAGTTGTTCATACAAGAACCTACTTTTCGACTGATCGTTCCTATGGCAGCTATATGATATAGTGATCCGATGTTGATAGGATTTGGCGTACATACGAGGAGCATAGTAAAACTAATAAATGCCGAGTTTGGTCAAGATACCTTGATAAGCAAAAAGTTTTTCATACAAGAACCTACTTTTCGACCAATCGTTATTATGGCAGCTATAAGATATAGTGGTCCGATCCAGCCGGTTCTGACGTATGTACTGCGTGCAACAAAAAGGCGGTCTTCTGCAAAGTTTCATGACGATAGCTTTAAAACTGAGAGACTAGTTCGCATAGAAACAGACAGACGGACATGGCTATATCAGACTCGGCTGTTTACACTGATCAAGAATATATATACTTTATCGGGTCGGAGATGTCTCCTTCTATGCGTTACACATTTCACGACCCTCTGCAAGGGTAGAAAAAGGGATGCATTTTACTTTCGCTAAGTGCAACTTTTAACAGGTTTTTCCTGTGGATCTACATAATATTTAAAATTACACATTTATTTTAAATAGTTCCACTGAAATTAATAAAAAATGTCACAGCAGGGTTCATAGACCGGTTTCACAAACCGAACCATGAACCAGCGAAGTTTGTTTTTGGGTTGCAGCCTTGTTGAATATCAACACAGGCAAACCTATCGTAGTCATAAATCAACGGGCTTTAACAGTAACAAACATGCAACACGTCCGCAAATCTATATTTATGTATTTATAATACAACTTTGGGCTTATATTTAAGCCGATTTACGGCAGATTCCAATTGATAATCCCATTGGGATTGTTATTTTTTTCCATTTTACAAATGCATTAATCAATGCGCCAACCTAAAATCTATTATACACATCGTAAATTAAATGTGAAGCGTCTGCAATGCGTAAATCAATGAAAATCCATTGCTATGGCCCTAGGTGAGCTTGCCAAGCGGTCTCTCTGCGGATTGCATTAATATTTTTTCCGCCGCAGTTGCAATTTGGGCATGCAGCTCCTGCTGCGATTTGCTTGCTTCGAATGTATACCAGTAACTGGAATCCTTTTCGCTGAAGCGATCAAATATCTGGCCCACTTTACGCTGAAAGTCCAATTTTTCATAGCTGCAACAAGACAGGAGATCCATTAGAAAGCTGTGCCTTCATATAATCCATTCAATTACAAACCGCTCTTCGCCGTAATTGCCACGTGTTGTAAGCTCGTCGGGCTTTGCCTTTAGATAGAATACAGCATCGGGCTTTAATAGGCCAATTTCAGGTGCCCAGCACCAGTCAAAATCAAGTCCCTTGGCCACAGAGTAGGCCACGCCAGAGTAGGCATAGCGATCGCAAATTACCGTCGTACCGGCCAGCAGATCCTTCTTGATGCTGTTCATGCGCTCCCAGCGATTTGCTGAAAACAGCAAGTGGATAACTTCATCGGACAGCTCCTGGCTATTTTGTAAGTAGTTATTAACAACATTGCCAATGACCGTGGACCGATCCGGAAAATTGGTTTGCATTGTATCCACTCCTTTACCCGTCAGCAGTTCGACTGTTATTGGAGTGAAGATTTTCAATAAGTACATATATAATAATTGTTTTAAGCGAAATGCAGGAGAGCTGTAGAGCATTAACTTCTGGAATGTGGGGCATATGGTGCAGGATGAATATATAGGTGCATCATGTTGCATTTATAGAGGCTTGCTGGCTGAGACGCTCTGTTTTGGCCATTACAACAACACATCCATATCAAGCTGGTTGCGAAAAACAGATTGTTGCTGAAGTAGATTCCAAATGCAGTTTCAGCCCTTCATTGGGATATAGCAATCTTATGAGACAGCAAACAATGTGATGTCTGACTTAAAGGGCAGTACTTGGTGTTCCCGTAAAAGCGAGGCAAATGATATAGAGTTGAGTTTCAGGTCATCCTCAGTGTGCAGTAAACACGCGAGTTGCTAGGATCGGGCCAAAAGGGCCTGAGAGTTCGTGCATAAAAGTAAAACGTGCAATTGCCCTCGATACAAGCCATTGCAAGAGACTTAAAGGTGATTATAATAAGTAACGAACTGATTGTACAATATAAATATTGTTGAGGATACGTACAGGCCTTGCATTTACGATAAGCATAGGCATAAGATAAGATAAGCGATAAACAGGTAGTCACCCTCTCAGACCCTAAAAAATGCAACCTAGGAAGCCAAAGATCATATGATTTGCACATATTAGAACTGGACTGTACTGGACAGCAGCTATAATTGGATTTAACAGGGAGATTCTTGAGTACAATTCTTGAGTATTTCTCAAGATCACAACATATACGATTAAGTGAGATATAACAATGATATGTGTGCAGCTTTTCGCATTTTATAACAAATAATTACACAAGTGTTCAATAAATGTAGTAATCAATTGATGATTTGCACGTGCAAATTCAGAATTGCGTCTTTTCTACTTACACATTAGCCGGTTTTGTGTTGTTTTGCCACAGCGATCGCATCCTTCGAATACAATAAGTGCACCACGTTTATTTGCGTTCATATTGTGACATGTATTTGTTTATATTATTGTTTTACTTTATGCTTTCCCGCTTTTTTTCAGATAAACTTGAAAAGCCGGGGGAGTAAACTGCAATGTGCGAATGCAATTCAATGTGCAGAGCAACGCAGGGCTGCATAATCGCTCAAATCGGCAGCTGTGTGACAAAAGCTGATTGCTTTACCCGCGAATGGTGTATCGGTCGCATTGTGCTGGCTGCTCACTATAATAATAATATGTAACTAAATTTTCATTCAATTTAGATTAAGATAATTTTTTAAATTGTAAATGCCAATCATTTACACAAATATTTATTTTTTTAGCTATTTGCCCAATGTGAGGAGTGTGAGTTCCGCAATGTTGCACTTGAAGTGGAACCAGTATTGCGGTTCTTTAACTCCAATCATGAACCAAGAAACACACACGCACACTCATACACACATACTCATAACACAGAAGCAGAAGCACACGTAAATTACATTTTGTTTTAAACAAATTGAAATACGCGTAAAATCGCATAAAACAACTGCGGCATTTGTAAAATATATGATAATTTAATAAAACAAACGTTACAATGTGTTGGCAATAAAGTGTGTGTGTTTGTGCTATTTGGCAAGGCTTGGTCTTAGCCTGCCTTTTCGGCCCAAAACAAGTAATTCGCAAAAACAGTCGCAACGAAGCTGCAATGCGCTGCACTTGAGTGAGTGAGAAGGCAAGATTGAGGTATTGTGCAAACACAGTGCTAATCATCAGCAAAACTCCCGACTAATACTCACCTATGCTCTGCCAGTCACATACTTCTAACCACATTTAATCACCAAATAAACGGCAAATGCGATTGCAAAAATCCATAAGGCAACCAACATTCATTGATACAAAGACCGCGTGTTTCTCGCGTAGCGCCCAGCAGCAGCAGCAAATACCAGGGACAGGCATGCAAAACAACGCTGTCGACAACTGTCGATAATTTATCGACTGTCTGCATTATCGCGCAAGGACCGCTCGCTGAAAACTTTTGCAAGTGGGTGGATGCGGTCGTGTGGTTGGTGTGAAAAAAGTGCGTGCGAAATTTGTTTATACTCGAATTCAGAGTCAGCTGCAATAATTAGATAACTCGTTGCGATAAATGGCCGCCGTACGAGTGACGCAGCGGCAGGCACAGTAAACAAATGGGCGACAGGACATAGCACCTTGTGCCGTATGGCCTTATAGAAAGTGTCAGAGTGTTTTCCCCCTATTAACCAAATCGAGTTATGTGTTAACTATTAATAATAAGGCAGAACTGTTGTTTTAGTCTGTGTGATAGTCCTTTAATCCTTTCGGGGCACGGCTATAGTGTTTCCGTTTTTGCCGCCGCCCTCTGGTTTTCTGTGTGTGTCACATGACGGCCGCTCTTTGATTGTCGGCAATCAAAATTCTCCGAATCCTTCTAAATTTTTAGATGATACCTATGCCGGATCTGCTCAGTTAGTTTAACATTAGCATAGCCATCATGTCCAACAACAATCATCCGCACGGTCATTTGAGTCAAGCGGCACAGAATCCCTCATGGAATCCCCTGCAAGTAAGTATCTGTTGTCCTGGCCGCCAGACCGTCCGACCGAACTGAAGCTTACGTCTGAACGGCTGCCTCCTCATCTCTGCAGATACCTTCGTATATACCGCGACAACCACAATTGGCACACATGTCCAACGAACGGTCGCTGGTCCGCTCCCCGCTGGCCTGGCATGCGTCCGCCCAGCCGCCACCACCGCCGCCGCCAGATGCCATTTACAATTTTATGTCGGCCAATCATAAAAACGTAATTAGCGTAGTTTCGTTCGTCGCTCGTTTCGACAAAATCCAATCCAACGCATGCACCAAAACCAAAGCTCCTTCCAACCGCCACCCGTAACCAACTCCCAAATCTGACATTCCCCGCTTTTCTCTGTCTCTCTCTTCAAAGCTCTTTTGCATTTGTAGTTGCTTCTCCAATCGTTTTGCGTTTTGTTTACCTACTTTTGGTTTTTGTTGTTTTTCATATCTAATCCAAATGCCTTGCCTTTCAGCTGGACCATCATCATCAAATGAATCCGTTGCTGGCGCCGCCATATACTGGAACATTGCCCTTTGACTCCATGGATTTGTCGCTGCAATCAAGTCGCAGCGCTGCGCCCACGCTGAATAAAACTGGCCAACAACAACAGCAGCAAGCACAACAACAACAACAACAACAGCAGCAACAACAACAGCAGCAACAACAACAACAGTCGCATTTGCATGCACCAACTAATTATCCAACGATGTAAGCAAGAATTTGCAATTCCAGACACAATTAATACTTGTTAATGCTTAGGCTCAAAAAAGATATATTAAAGTATATCTTTAGTTTGTATTTTATGCAGCCAAAACGAAAGATTGACTCAAATTCGGTTAAGATTGTAGAAACTAAACCAAATTTTGCTTCCTCCATTCACAGACACAATTTGACCACAAATACGCCCGCAGGCGTCCAGCAAGGACATCTGCCGGGCATGCCAGCATCGACATCGCCTGCCAGCGCTGCCAGCAAATATTTGAATGCAAATGGCGCTGGCCCGGCCGATTGCGAGTCGCTGTTGCCGCCCCCGCCAAGTACCCCGCCCAACAATAACAATCACAACAACAACAGCAGCAACAGTGGCAGTGGCAGTGGCAGCAACGCCAACAACAACAGCAGCAGCAACAACAATGTGCCGCCGCCCCATTACATGCAGCATCGTGACGAAAACTTTAAGCTGACGCAGCTCAAGAGCATGCAAAAGAGCGCCGAGTTGAGCGGTAAGGACTGCGGGTATACGGGCGCTACTGGCAAGCTGGCCACGCACAACATGCAACAGCAGCAGCAGCACGCCAAAAAGCGTAAGTGCTTACAATATGCCTGAAGAGAACTTTTAACTATCTACTTTGCTCCCACAGCCTCGCCGCTGCGCAACTATCATCAGCAACAGCAGCAGCAGCCGCCATATAACATGACGCCGCCAAAATACAATGGCCCGCAGACGCCACCAACGCCTCAGTCGCCGCTGGACTACAATCAGCTGCATTTGCATCATCAGCTGCACGCAAGCGTCGGCAGCTATGCGCCACAGCAGCAGCAACAGCAGCCACCGCAACACATGCAGCAGGAGCAACAGCAGCAACATTTGCATTATGCACCACCAACAACGCACCATAACCAGCATCTAGCACCACCACCACCGCCGCCGCTGTCTCACATGACGAGCGCACAATTTCAGCAGCGGCAGCAACCGCTACTGCAGCAGCAGCAACAGCCTGCGCCGCCGCACCAAACGTCACAAATGCATTCCCGCAATACGCAATTAACGAATCTCGATATGCTGTCTAAGCACAAGCCAGAAGAGCAGCAACAGCAGTCGGCACAAGAAGAGTCACAAACGATAATTACCGATCTGTCCACAACGGCCTCATATCGCAGTAACAATGCGCCGCTGCCGCCGCCAGTTGGCGAGGACAAACAGCTAACCGAGGCGCCCGAATCGCCGTACATGACTACCTCCAATGAGGAATCGCTGGAGTCCAATAGCAATAGCAGCAATAGTCGGAAGCGGCGAAAGCGCAAAGCCAGCCAGGTCATGCGCCTGACGCCCAGCGACAATGTGAAAAGGCAGCGCACCCCGAGCCCGCTCAGCAACAGCTGCAGTCCCAAGCACTCGCCCAAGAATGGCGCCGATGTGCACGAGTTTCAGCCATTCGCGCTGAAGGAACAGCAGCAGCCCGAGCTGCCCCAGGAAAATGGACGATCAGTGTCGCCGCCAGCTGCGGCTGCAGCTGATAATAGCAATAGCTCCACAGTGTACAACGACTCGGACAATCCCAAGACTAAGAAGCAGCGACAGGCGCTGCTTCAACGCAATCTCACAGAGCAACAACAGCAGCAGCGTCGCCAGATTGAGGATGAGCTGCAGGACCAGGACCAGCAGCAGTTGCCCGCGACAAAAGCAGCTAAGGAGGCACTAGTGCAGCCGCCAAGTCCGCAGAGCAATAGCAGCAGCAGCAGCTCGAGCAGCTCCAGTGCGGCCACGCACAGCAGCCATAGCAGTCGGACCAGTGAGGTGCCGCCAGTCAAAGAGCAACAGGAACAACAGCAGCAGCAGCAGCAGCAGCTGGACAATAACAAGGCCATCACAGACACGCCCGCATCCCCAGCGCTGGTAGAGCAGGGTGACATTGATGCTAAGCCCGCGGTAAGCGTGCATGACGATGAGGATGAAGTAGAGTCGCCAGCTGGAAAACAATCGCCCGCAGTAGCAGCAACAGCGACACCAGCAACAAATGCAACAGCAGCTGCCACCACAGAGCCCTGCCATTTTAACGAGGTGGAGGATAAGCTGGAGAAAATGTTTGCGGGCATTGAAGACGAGCCCGCCGAGCAAGCAGATGAGCCGCCGAGCGTAGAAAAACAAGCAGTCCGTGCAGAGCATGACCTTAGCGCACAATTAGCTTTAGACAGTGGTGCACAGGTCAAAGCTGTGGTGCAGGAAAAACCTGTAGCTAGCACACCACCAGCTGCGAGCACGCCGACGCCGACGCCTGAACTGCGGCCCATGGCAACCAAGGCGGCCATGAAATCGACGCTGCCCAGTCCCATACACAGCCCCACTCCGACAGCAGAGCCGCTAGCCAAGGAGCACACAGAACATACCCTATCGCCGGCAGTGGCAGCAACGCCGCCAAGCGTCAAAATTCCGCCGAGAACGCCGCCGACGCGTTGTCTGCCGCCGCGGCGACTTTCTATGGGCATGGATCCCTCGCTGCTGCGATTTACCATAGAGGAGCAGGTGAAGCCCAAGAAAACGCCAGTGCGCAAGAAGCAGCCGGCGGTGGTGACGCCTCCGGTAACGGAAATTGTGCAGCTGGACAGCGATGATGACAAGCCCAGCACCTCAGCCGCGGCAGCAGCTGCGCTGGCGGCACGCAAGCTCAGCGAAGCGGCTGTGGCCAAAACGCTAGCACCTAAGGCGAGCAATGGGAATGCCAACAACAAGAAAAAGAACAAGAAGAATGCGCCCAAGGGCAAGAAGGCAACGGGCAAGAACGGCGCTAAGCAGAACGTTGGCAAAAAAGGTGTCGCCGGCGGCGCACGCAAAATTTTCAGCACCGACGAGGACAGCACACCGGCGCCCAATCGTGAGAGCAACAATGGTGCAGCTCCAGATCTCAGGTTTAAATCGCCATTCATACTGATCAAGCCCGATGGCAGCATAAGCATTAAGAACACGCACAGCGCCGAGGATGTCAACGAGAAGCAGACGAAGAAGAAGCACACAAAGGCGCCCCATGAACGCAAAAATCTGCGCGGCATGCACAGCTCAACGTTAAGCAATCGCTACGATGCGGACACCACCGACTCGAGTTGGATATGCGTGTTCTGCAAGTGCGGACCGCACAAGCTGGGGCTGGGTGATCTCTTCGGGCCCTATCTGGTTTCCATAGACTGTGAGGAGTATCGAACGGCAGTGCAGGTGCCAGCGGGCGTGCACGACATCGATGGGCTATTTGTGAGCAAACGCAAGCGCGCCGACATGGTCAAGGTGCAGGAGCGCAATCTGCCCGTGGTGCCCGCAACGCTAGCGAACATTATGCAGGCGCCCAAGATAACCATGGTAAGCAATGGTAGCTGCTGTAACTGCTGAGAGCTTGTTTCTAATCAATTTATTTTTTCAATTCTTTTGTAGCACAAACGCAAACGCAAGCAAACCCACGACAGCGTCTACTCCTGCAGTGATGATCCAAACGAATCGCAGTGCTCCTCGCAGGATCCGCTCGACTGCAGCCACGAGGCCAAGTTCGTTGAAACGTTTCGCGGCATGTCGAAGACATCCGAGCATTGCTACGAGATTTGGCTGCACGAAGATTGCGCCGTCTGGGCCAATGATATACAACTGATTGGCGCCCATGTGAATGGACTGGATGCGGCCGTGTGGGACAGCACGCGGTATCAGTGCGTCCATTGTGCACAGCCCGGCGCCAATGTGTGCTGTTTTCAACGCACCTGCAAGGCAGCGGCGCATGTGCCCTGCGCCCGTGTCGCCAGCTGGAGCCTGAGCGAGCAGGAACGCAAAGTGTATTGTCAGCTGCATGTGCCACTAAAGGCAATCACAACGACAGCAGCAGCTGCAACAGCAGCAACAGTAGCGGTGGCTGCAACCATACCAGCTAGCGTAGTGGAGCCACCGCCCACACTAAACATCAATTCGCTTCCCTGAGTACGCGTGCGAGTGCAGAAATGTCGTCTAGACGTCAAGCGTTGAGCGCACGCTAATAGCTCGGATATATGAAGCGAGGCCAGCGACTGCATCATAAAAATTACCTACTTAAGCCGGCAGCTGCCTGTTTTGTATATAATCATTAAATGGCTTAAACGAGACTGGATGCAGGCAGCAGCTGCTGCTGTTGATTCTCTTGACCTTGTCCTGTTGCTGTTTGTGTTCTATAATCCTTTTAAAACTTAAAACTTGTGTATAAAGATTACTGTACATTTTATGTAGACGCTGTGGGCGACAGTTTTAATGATAGTTTCTAAATTCGATATATATATATATATATATAATTACTTATATATATATTTTTAGTTGTTTATCTATTATTTAAATTATTATTATTATTTCGATTATATATATATGTACACTTATATATATAGTACTTATTAAATAGGTAATTTAGTTGTAGTTATGTTTACAATGCAAATACTTTACATAGCCTGTTTTAAGTTTTACTGCGCATATCCTTTTGCTGATCCAGCACATCACAAATTGTTTATTTTATTCTTGTTCATGCTAATCTATTTACTTTATGCATATGCCAATTGATAATTTAGTTCAATTTTTGTATGTATAAAACGAATACTCCATGCCATAACGTTTAATTATATTTATAATGATAATAATTATAATGATGATGATGATTATATATATGCATTGTGCACAGCATTAAATTAAGCTAAGCATATAACCACAAATAGAAAATGTTTGACACCAATTAAAAGCAAAGGCAAAAACGAAAAGCTGAAAAATAAATAACGCAAAGAAACAAACAACATTCGAAAACTATTCAAAATGGAATATTGTAAAACAATATAAATCAATAATAATAATAATAATAATATTAGCTACATGTAAAACTAAAACATTGTATTGTATTTGTATTCATTAATAATAAGAAACAATTCTAAACACTTTAAACAATAAAACTTAATCTCACCATGAAACTGCATAAAAAAATCAACAACAACAACCAAAGAATCGTTTTCAACAAATTTCGTCGTTTTATTTATTTAATAAATATTGCAAATTCAATAGAATATTATACACATATAATTTACAATTGCATTAAGTTAAGCCTAAATAATCGTAGCATATAAATAATAACTTAGCTTTTGTAGTAGTAATCTCACGTCATCTCGGCGCACTTCTCCAGCCGCTCCTCCTCATCCTCAGTAGCGTCGCTGGCGCAGTCGTCGTTGCTGCGTTATATCATTGGGCAAACGGCCCACGCTGCTCTGTGGCACCTCGTAGGATGTGCGGCCCGCATAAAAGGCCATCTCCTGACCCTGATCCATTATCTTGCCCTTGCTATTGCTGCTCAGTTGCAGCTGGCCGACTTTGATGTCGCTGCGTTTTTGTGCCACCTGCAATGTGGGCGCTGGTATCAAGCCATTGGCCAGGGCCGGCAGTGGCACATTCAAATGATCCAACTGCTGACCAGGTCCGTTAGCCACAACCGTCGTTTTGGCCAAGTTGGGTGCGGCTGCTGCCGCTGCCAGCGGTGGGAATAGCGGCAAATGTTGCTGCTGTTGCTGATAGGGCACAAAAATGTTGGGCGTCAGATAGGGCTGTTGTATGGACTGTATGGAGGGACGGGCAGATTGTTGTTGTTGCTGCTGAAAGTGTGGCAACTGTTGCATCTGTTGATAAGGCTGTTGCTGGTATTGTGTGTGGTAACTAATTTGCTGTGCAGGCTGTTGCTGGCGTTGATGCTGATGTTGCTGCTGCTGTTGCAGCTGTTCATTACGTTGCTGCTGTGGCTGCTGCTCATGTTGTTGCTGTTGTTGCTGCTCAAGATGTTGCTGCTGACGATGTGGCTGCTGCTGTTGTGGCTGATATTGCTGCTGTTGTGGCTGATATTGCTGCTGTTGCTGCAGTGTGCGAATATGTTGCTGCTCTTGTGCTGGCTGTTGATAGCGCTGGGTTATGTAGCTCAGCTGCTGCTGTTGCTGTTTATGTGGCAGACGCTGCTGTTGCTGTGGCTGGCGCTGCTGTTGTTGCTGTTGCTGCTGCTGCTGTTGCTGTTGTTCCAATAGCTGCAGCTGATGGGACTGTTGCGGCTGCTGCTGCTGTGGAACATGCGAATGTTGCTGTTGCGCCGACTGCTGCTGCTGCTGCTGCTGTTGCAATGTAGTGTGAGCTGCAGTGTTGCTGCTGCTGCCAAATTTATTATTGAGGAAATCGTTGAGCGCCACATAGGAGTTGGGCTGAGGAGTGTTTGCTTGCGGTTGATTGACCAGTGAGGAGATGATGGTATTGGTGGAACTTGGAGCAATGCGTTGTCCCTCGGCACGAGCAATAACAATGCCCGGCTGAGTGGGCAGCACCAACTGAGGCAGCTGTTGCTGCTGCGTGCGTCGTGGTATGCTCAGACTAGCCAGAGCTGCAATATAATATAAATATTCATGAATAGTAACAACAATTGCATAGATATGTTGCCGCTGTGCTTACCTGGTGTGGTAGGCTTGGGATAATGATAGCTGTGGCTTGTTGTGGGCTTCGTAACGCGCTGCTGCTGTTGCTGCTGCTGCTGGGTGTTGCTGCTGTAGCCATTGGCAGCGCCTCTATGGGCGTGGTTGCTCTTAAAGTTCTGTAAAATTGAGTCATCAACAATGGCGCGCGTTAGCTTATCAAAGGGCAGGAAAGCAGAAGAAGGATTAAGGCTAGAAGTGATTTTTGTCAGCTGTTGTTGTTGCTGTTGTGTTTGTGGTTGTGCTTTTGGTTGTGCTTGTGCTTTTGATTGTGGTTGTGGTTGTGCTTGTGGTTGCTGTTGTGTGCCGCTCGCAATGACAGTTTGAGCGGTTGTGGGTGCATTATTGTGGTTGTGTGTGAGTGGAGGTTCGTAACTGTAGCCGGCAGCCAAGGCAGAGATTTGTTGCGACAGCGTAGACAAAGCGGCCGCTGTGGTGCGCTGTGTGCTTGTTGTGGTGCTGCGCGGCGTGGTGGTTCCGCGTGTGCGCTGCTGTGGTGCCTGTGTTCTGTAGGTTACATGACGATTGCGTCCACGCTGCTGCACGCTGGCAGCGATTGTGGGTCTAGGAGTCAAGCTGATGGTGCTGGCTCTGCTGATGCTGGTAGGGGGGGTGGTGGGGCTGGAGGTGGCGCGTGTTGCTGGCGTGTAGACTCGATTGCCGCGCTGCACCTGAAAGCGTTGCAAATTGCTCTGCACGCTGTCCCAGCTGGCGCGCTGCTGGCCCGTTTCCCTCTCAATGTTGCGCACAGAGATCTTTTTATTGGGACCCTGATCGGCGCTAGCGCGCACATAGGACAAAGGCGACTCCGTGGTGCTGGTGGTGCTTGTGGTGCTTGTTGTGGTTGTTGTTGTTGTAGCTGTGCTGCTGCTGCTGCTGGTTGCTGCTGTGGTTAGCTTTGCTGGGGTGGGCTTGGTGGCCAGCGATAGGCGCGAGAGGCGTAAACGACTTGCCGCCAGACGTTCCGAATAGCTGCGTGTGGGCGTGGTCGAGCGTGGTGTGCTGGTGCCTTTCGTGGTGCTCGGCGTGGTGCTGCGCCCCAGCGGCAATTGGCGTCGCAGTGCGCCGCCCGAGCCACCCACGCGTTTCTGGGCAAAGCGTCGATAGCTGCGTATGCGCTCCTGCGTGCTGCTGATCTCCGTGACAGTTTCTGTGGAGGTGCTCATTCCAGGCGTGGTTGTCGGTTTCACTGTGGTGCTGGTGGTGGTGGTGGTGGTGCTGGTGGTGCTTGCCGCTGGCCTGCCCAGCGTCAGTTTATTGGTGCGCAGCGCTGTCTCCTCCGCGTGCGAGGTCAGCTTGACGCCCGCCAGCAGCAGCTTCTCCGCCTGCAGATCCACATCCGTTTTATCAGCTGCTGCGGCACTCAGCGGTGCCTGCTCCGGCTGCAGATCCTCGCTGAGCGTCAGACTAGCCGTCAGCGCAGCAGCTTGGCCAATGGATTCTATGATGGGCAGCTCGCTGTTGTAGCCCAGAGGAGCTGGCTCAATCGTGCTGCCAAATGTGGTTCTTGTGTTTGTGTCTTCTTCTTCTTCAAACGTTGGTGGCAATGTGGGCGCTATTAACAATTTTTCAATTGCATCGGCAATGGGCGCTTCAGTAGTTGTGGTCGTGGTCGTGGTTGTGGTTGAGGTGCTGCTGCTTGTGGTTTTGTCATTATTAAATTTGAGCTTGTGCTCAGTGTCTTTGTGAGCTTCAAATGGTAGCTCATTGGGCTTTTGTGGTGATTGGTGGTTGATGGTTTTGTGTGATTTAAGATGTGTGGATGAAGTCAAAGTTGTAGGCGATAGTTGGATAGATTAGCAAAAGTGTTTAAAAGTAGGGCGAGAAAAAGAGAAAGAGAGAAATTCAAGAGAGATTTGATAGAGAGTATAGAGTAAATAAAGTAAAGATATAGATATAAAGATACATAGATATATGTTAATATAAAATATATATTATATTTATATATTATATATAAATAATATATAATATATATATATATATATGAGAACTGCAAATCCAAAAAAAAATCGTGGCTTCGTTTCAGGGCTCGAACCAAGTCCCTTTATTGAGGTGCGCTTCGTTGAGCTGATTTTCTTTAATCTTAAAGCCAGCTTTTGATTTAAGCCTTCGTTTGTCGTGTATGTACTTAAAGAATTTTATTTGCCCGATATAATGAAAATTTTGCAAGCCCCGTTAATATTTGCCCAAATTGGCATCTATCAAATAAGGTTGGATAAATGCAAAAGTTGGACGCCAAGATATCTATTTTTTCTTCGAAAGTAAACCGTTTTAGTAATTTATTTCAGCTGTTTATTGCGTAACCGAAGGTAAGGTTCAAGTAAAAAATTAATTGGAACTCAGGACTCGTAACGGTTCGGGTTAATGCCGGTTTGCGGCCTTAATAGATATAGAAACGAATATGAATATAGATATAGAAATAAATATAGATTCAGCTATAGCCATAGATAGATATAGAGACATAGATATGCAAATATAGCTAAAGCAACATCAGAGATATGGCCAAGTAGGCCTGAGAACTTACCGTAAATCTGACAGTGCCCGGCGTCTGTTTGGGTTTATTGTACACATAGGATGAGGCGCCTTTGCCGCCATCCTTTTCGTTCGTTTGCATTGCGAATCCGCGACTTAGAAATCGAAATGGTTGCTTCACCTTCCGCGGACTCATCGACTGGTAGCCGGAGACGCTGGGATCCAGGTCGATGGGCACCTCTTCCAGCAAATTGTTGATATTGGACACCAGATCCAGCTGGGTGGCCTCCTCATTGGTATTGCGCGTTTGCTTGATGTAATCGGGCGCCATTTGCTCATTGGATGCGGCTGAGGTCTCGCTCAGCAGCTCGAGGCCCGCATTGACGCGCTCCGCAAAGTTCTTCTGCTTCTGGTAGTGATACTCACGTGGATATTCGGCAATGATGTGCGCATTTGTGTGGTCGAACTCTATGCCCGGATCGGAGGACAGCTCGCCCAGGCTGTTCACATAGATGTCCTCGCCATCGCCATCAACTACCGTTGCTGCTGTTGCTGGCGCCGGCAAAGCTTCGCTTTTGATGTCCTCGCCACGCAGTACATGATTGCCATTGCCATTGCCAACTGCGGCGGGTTGCGACAAGACACCACTAAGATTGCTCAGATCCTTGCTCAGCGTTTGATGTGTGTGTGCCTGGTGCTCGCGTTGAGACTGAGACTGAGCCTGGCCTTGGCCCTGCCCCTGCTCCTGCTCCTGCAACGCCTTCGATATGGTCTTGGTGGGATACTCCATCATTTGGCGCACACGTTCCATCATTTCCTGTGTGCTGCCCACGCTGCTCTCGCGATTCATGTGATAGTAGCGCTCCGATTGATCGCAGTCCACATTGCGATACCAATCGCAGACGAACTTCTGCTGGCTAAAGACGGTGCCATTCGGACAGAGGAAACCGAAGCCCTGTGCGGAGCGTGCGGTATGTGCGCAAATGCGAAACGCCTGACAGCGACTCTCCACATCCGCATAGTAGCCTGTCAAGTAATAACAATAAGAATTGATCTTCCACTGGACTTGGAGCGGGTCTTACCTTCGTGGCGACCCTTGCACACAAAGCCCGTCTTGGGCACCTCGCTCAGTATGGGATAGTCGACGCCGGGCTCGCCGGGTATCGTGTGACGCAGATCGTACTGCTGATCCGTATACTCATTCGCCTTGTCCGCATCCTCAAAGCTGCCCTGGGCGCTGGCGCCACCAAGCACCGCCAACAGCAGCAGCCCCACAAAATGTGGGGCAACTGGGGCTGGTAATCGTAACCGGGGCATGCTGTAAGCAAATGTCAAATAATATGTAAATGGCAAGCTTACAAAACAATATGCATTAGGCTGATTGATAAATTATGAATCGATAAACATTCATTGATTAAAACGAACATGTTGTTGAAAACATTTGAATATAAAGCGACGTAAGAGCTCGCGAGCCGCCTAATTAGCATAGGCCACAACCGCATTGAGGCGTGCCCGGCTCTCCGGCACACACGTAACCAAAAAAGGCGTGACATTAGAGGTGTTCCATGCTGATTTGTTTAGTCAAAGCAAACGGCAGTTAACACTCGTGCATAGACTATTTAACGGCACTGTTCGCCACATTAAGCGGCAACTGCGTGGGTCCCGCCAAACAGTCACATTCGATTCGTCACTTGGCCATATATGCCTGACACTTGGCATATATATGCTTAGTTATCTTATCTATGTATGACTAGCACCATAATAAAAGGAAGCCACAGTCCATACTTGTGTGTTGACCTTCAATCGACATTCACAATTTCTGTCTGATCTACATTTTTAACAACCAATTTATGACAGAGCATATCGCATTCGGCATATTGACAACAGTTTTCTGCTCAACATCAGATACTTTACTTCAATTTTATTAATAGGTAAAAATACAGCTTCAGAATGCTCAAATGAGCATTTTTCTCAACTTTCTGTCAAGATTCAGTTTCTATTATTGCCAAGCTTCAGTTTTGGATTAATCCACTTGGGAAATCATTTAGGCTCACAAAAGCACAAATGAGCTTAATACTTAGATTATTGTAAATGCATTTATAAATTAATCAATTAAGAAAAAATATAAAAAAAAACAATGAGCTCTACTCTTAACTTTCTGTAAATTCTTTTTGTACATATATTTAATTCTTAAAATTATTTTTAATTGATTATTTTTTTAAATTGTTGTTATAGCCAAGCTATGGATTAATCCCATAAAAAAATAAAATATTTTATTAAACTGATTACATAGATTGACAGCCGTTGTGTCTATATATATAATCAATTTTCCTGTCTGTAATTTTTATAGAAGCTTCGAAGCTTTGTCAGCGTAAAGTCGAGAGCGCGCGTGAATTAGGCATCTGAGCGGGAGGTCTCCGATTCAAATCCAGCAGCAGTTATCGATTTGTATCTTTGTTTATTTTATAATAAATTAAATGAATATAAAAAGTATATAGCTTTTTTATTTCAGCAAATGCTGTTTTGCATTAATTCAAAAAATTTCCCATTTTAGTTCAAAGTTTATTGTTTATCGCTTTCAGCTGAACTCTTTAAATATCCAAACTCGTGCCGTGTTTTTATTTTAACACAACTAAAATCGTTAAAAGGCAAAACCATTTGCTAACTTTTCATTAATCAAATAACTAAACTGATTATTCAAATGATCAAACACATATTAGAATACGACAAATTAATTGGTCTTCAAAGACATTTCGTACGGCAAGTCAAATATTTGATCTTTCCAGTTGAGTGTCTGAGGTCAAATTACTGACAGCTCATTAAATATATATACATAGATATATTTTTTTTTTCGAGTGATATATGAGTGCTTCGGTTGTCTGTATTCTGTATGTTGCACTATATCATTTTTTTGAATTTTTTCTGTTTTTTATTTAAATTTAATAGAGTGAAAACAAAAGACTTAGGCAACGAACTTGCCAACTGCACACTTGACATGTTTTCTGTTTGTGCAGTCAGCCTAGAGTGTTTGCCATGAAAATTGCCTGCAATTGTATGGATTGTTGTGTAAGGAAGCCAAAGCAATTAAAAATAAAAAGCCCAAAAGGCAATGGGGGCACTTGTGTGCGCCGCACAGTGGTCCATTGTGCAGACCATGTCATATGAAGTGCGCGAAATAAAATTGAAGAACTGAATTGAATGCATGAAGCGGGCCAGCCAACTGAATAATATATATATGTATATAGTTTGTGTGTATATGGATATAATAAACAACAGTAGTTGGCAACAATTTGCCAAGTTAAAGAGCGATAAATTGTTGTCTTTGTTTGATGCAACAAAACAGCCATAGAAAATAAATCACAGAAAATAAAAAAAATAAAACCCAGCATTTAATTATATTTGCAATTTTAACTGTTCGCGGCAAACTTTTGATAGCTTAATCGATTATATAAGCTGCCTTGATTTCAACCGATGATGTAAAAATTATTCAATCTAAAGCTATGCAAAACTAATTTGTGGACAATCAAGCGTTTATATAGTTTTTGTTTGTAGGCGTGCCTTTTATGTGACAATTTATGTCGTGTATTTAAGATAAAATAAATAAACATTGAAGATATAGTAGGTCAATAACCTGTAAGCTCACCTGCTGCTATATGATTTCTATAATGACTACATCTAAGCTACATCTAATTGCATTTTAATGGCTGCCCAAATACCAAAGGCACAGCTCATGGAAATACTGTTGAGAAGAAAAAAAACAACTATATTACAAGCACATTATGCAAATGCAATACAATTGACGAGCAAGTCCAAGAGCGAAGTGTAACAATAAACGGATTCGACAGATTCAGGGTCATTATCAAGAGCAGTTGGAGCCATAAAAACAATGCCCGCTGACAATGAGGAAGCATTCCTCTCTCTTCATACCAATTTATCCGCATCATCTCCATCATATTTCACGTTGGTATTTTGTTTTACTTCTCATTGTTTTCAATGATCCATCAAAAAAAGAGACGCGGCTGACAGAAGCTGCCGAAGAAGAAGCTACAAATACGTAGCCCGAAAATATTTTAGATAGATAACAACTTTGGTCCGGCGACCTTTAAAGTGAATGGCTAAAACCCATTCAATTGGCTTTGGATGATTTTTCGGACTTTAACTCAAAAGCTGACAAATTAAAACGTTTTCTTCTCTTTTGATTTGTTTTTTAAGCGCATTGATTCCGCATTGTGTAATCTGTAATTATTGTAAAACGATCTCAATAAATTGAGTTTTTCTTAAATGGCTAATCATTCTTTTTGCTTCCACTGCCGATAAATTAGCAGCACGTTTTAACGCATCGAAACCATAAATCTTAAATGATATCATATGCCCGCAGTCGATGCTTTGCCTCGAAACTGGTTTCGCTTCAGTCTAGAATTTAATTATAGCAATCTAATTTTGATATGTCCAAAACAAACACACAAAACGAGAGAAACCCACTTCAGATTCATTCAATTGGAATTTGCTCGCGCTCAAAGAGGATGGGCAAAAGGATCTGCTCAGAATTCAACTTCAAAGTTTGTGTATGACATCAATCTTAAACAAACATGCTTAAAGCCAGCTAGCTATATATATAGTGGGGCTTTTCTCGCGCATTCAGTACCGGCAACTCGAACGTACCCCAAGTGGCTGTCATTTTGGTCAACTGACGTCCAATTGAGTGCGTAACACGAGCTGAAAATGTGCCCCACTTCAGACTGTGCTGATCGCATCTCGTATGTCTCGTATTCTATATCCGCATTGCTTACAACAAGCATCTGAGTAGCATTTGGCAATATTTAGTTATTATGGAAGATTAGCAGCGTTTAAAACTACATTGAACCAGCTTAAGGCTTGTCTATTTAAGGTGCGATATGTGGCTATTCACAAGATAAATACCTAAACCATTTTGGCAGCCTTACGCTCATGTTGATCGACAGTCTTCAGTCTGAGCAGACAAATTGGTTCTACACATTTTTGGTTTGCATTTTACCTGCATGATAAATGCCTTGGACTTTATGTGAATTCAAATTGTTTTCTATGCGGCTGACTCAGAAATCGGAAGATATCTACATTAATCAAAACTTTGTAAATGGCAAGCATAAAATAAAATAGGCGTGGGATAGGAGCACAACAAAGTATTTGAATGTGTATAGGAATAGGAATAAAGACACTGTGAATTACGATATTCGCATAAGGGTTAGACGAAAGCCGCAAAATTGGGGGATCCGTTAAAAAATATATATTTTTAAGAATATCACTGTAAAGAACGAATCTCGTATCCAACCTTCTTCTATAATTTGAAACTTTCTTGACAAGCTGTGGAACCTGCTGGAGATATATACGATATAATATATTCATAATTTTTCTGTCTTGCTTAGGTTATTTTTTCAAATAAAAATATATATAAAATATATTTTTAATAGCATCCTTGTATTTGTACAAACGTTCATATCATAAAATAATGTTTTAGCTGCTAATGTTTTGATTTCTATGAAAATTATACCAACTATCTTATAAATAATTGCTAATCTTTTATCTATAGAGTACCCCAGATTGTTAAACAATAGTTGTAGTTTTTTTTTCCAATAAAAATTCTGCCAAGTATTCCAATTTTGCTTAAGATATTATCAGTAGGTTATATATGTAATCTATACTGTAAACTGTACTGTAAACTCTGTCAAGCATTTTATTTTTAATCTGAAGATATTTTGAGTGCTAGAGTACTAGAAGGTAGTTGTTTTTTTTTTATTTCTATACAAATTTTTCCAAGTATTTTAATATTTTTCGCTTTAGATATTTAATCTTAAGAGTTTCCCAGATATTTTAAGCATTGTTGTTTTATTTTTTCTATACAAATTTCATTCTTTTTTCTTCCTACGATATTTTGAGTAGCTCATTAATATTTTACAAAATCTTTTTAATTTAACAAGTTTTTCCAAGTATTTGCCTCAGATATTTTTTCTGTTTTCTGGTTTTCAATTTTTCATTTCCAATAAAACGCTTCCAATTAACTTATTATGTATTTCCTAAATACAGAGTATTCATTATTTATTTTATATTAATATCCAAAAAAAATTTTCCAAAAATATCTTTCGTTGATGCTTCACATATTATGTTTAGCAAGATTTGTAATCCATATAAACTCTATTTGGCAATCAAATAAATAAAGAACATTAATTATGGCGTTTATTTAAGATAAATGAAAGATTTGTAAGCGCCAATTTAAAGCACAATTCACAGTCTTTTTCATAAACAATTACTATTTGTTTAATAATTTGCTTAACAATTTTTCC